TGTGTGTGTGGTGTGTGTGTGTGTGTGTGTGTGTGTGTGTGGGTGTGTGTGTGTGTGTGTGTATCTGTGTGTGTGTGTGTGTGTGTGTGTGTGTGTGTGTGTGTGTGTGTGTGTGTGTGTGTGTGTGTGTGTGTGTGTGTGTGTGCAGGATTAATTTAGGAGGCAAAGGTCTATTCAGATAAACAACAGCGTGTTTTTCTGCTGACTCTGCAGCCTCATTACATCAAACTGTTTCCAGGTCAGCGTTCGGTGATCAATGAAATCAACTCTTTTCTACCTTCTTCTTCTTCTTCTGCAGGTTTTCTCAGTAATACCACATGCTCAGCGCTCAGCTAACAGGAAGTAGATCAGATGGGGTGCAGAGCTTTTTATCTGACACCATCAGGTTCAGGTTCAGAGGAGCAGATCTTATCACCTGCAACTGAAATCATGTTTGCTGCTAATTAGCAAATGCTAGCATGCTAACACACAGGAATGAGCTGCAGTGGGTAAACACACATGCATTTCTTTATTGAGTAACACAATCTATTGGATGACAAAATGGGAACACTTTTAGTTTACTTAATCTCCAAACATCTGCACAGCCTCACAAATTATATTTTTAAAACCTCTCTTAACATTTAATTCGCTGCATTTTGCATCTCTAGCATTTACAGTTGGTGATACATTAAATGAGCTTCACTAAACAAACTACAGGTATTCATGAAGGACGTTGCTCCTATACAGTGGCGAGCCGTGACTTTTATACCTAGGCCCTCTGACCCCCACCCCTTCCCTCGAAAAAAAAAAAAAAAAAAAGGGTAAGGCACAGCGTATACTTCAGCGGAATATCAAAACAACGGCCCGGGGTGCAAAACGCATCAATGACAGCGACCCTCTACCACACAGAACAACACCTGTGAACCCAATTTGTGTTCTTTGACATTGAAAATGATATTGCATTGTGTTTGTTACTTTCGTTGCAGTTGTATGTCTTAAGTGTAATTTGGCACGCTTTTATTTTGAAGGCGAGTTTACGCTGTTGACAGGAAGTTGTTGTTGCTATGGCAACTAGAAAAGCTTCACAGCGGGCGGAACTTGTCATAAAGTCTGCGATAATAAAGCCCACCCATTTAGAGGGAAGATATGATAGGTCAATTGTACTGTCATTTGACATTACTCCATCGTTCAGTTACTATGAACGAGACTACTCCTACTACTACTGCTTGTAGCACTTCGGGATTTGAAATCAAATATGAAGTGCTTTATAAATGGAACCCATTATTATTATTATTATTACTATAGCGGGCCCTCTGTGAATTCATAGCAGGACCACCAACAGCTCCTATCTTCACCTCGCAGAGACGAGCTTCTTTCATTTAACCCTTCACATTCAAACAGAAACTGAATAGGCAGATTCGAAGGATTTATTTATTTGGAAATGTAATTTTAAAAACAATTAAATCAAGTTATTTTGGTAAAACTAATGAAAAATATATTAAAAATATTTTTTTTTAATGTTTTTAAATATTATTTTGTAGAATATCTTAGGCCCTCAGAGAGGGCCTAGAGGGCCCTGACGGCTCGCCACTGCTCCTATATCACGAGACATACACTTAAAGAGGGAGAAAAAATGATTTTAGATAAAATATTGTTGTAGTTGAAATGGCAGGAAGATACTGAGCTTTAGCATACGAGCTAACGCTAGTAGTTAGATTTATTCTCAAAAGTTTGATGTTTATTTTTCAACATTTCCTCCTAAATCTTTACATTTCCAAATGTATTTTCATCGTTTTGAGTTTACTACCTTTTTTTCTCAATATCTTTTAGTTTAATACGACATTCTGACTTTATTTTTTTAAATGTAAACTTTATATTCTTGTTATTTTGACTTCATTCCCGTCATTACTGTAACGTTCCCAATATGTCCACATCTCAAAATGTACGACACATTTCCACTTTGTATTCAAAATGAAAAAGAAAGCACATTTTCCTCCCTCAATTTATTTATTCGTACTAAAATACTAAAAGTTTGTCTTTATTCTCGACATATTCCCCCCAAAATCTCAACACCTCTATCCGTCCTGCAGTGGGAACATTTACGGATAAAGAACCCTCTTCTCAGTTTTCCTCATCCCTTATTCCTATTTTCCTGCTGAATGTTCCCTCCTGATATTACCTGGAAACAGAGACATCCCATCGTGTCCTCTGTGGCCCTCGGGGGACATTCATCTCGTCTCCTTCCTCAGGTTTAAACTCTGAAGGTTGTTCCTCTTTTTAAATCAGAATATTTCCTGGAAGGACAAACGTTTAGTCCTGTCTGTCCCCGAAGAGTCAGCTGGAGGCAAAATCACAATTTACGATGAACTACGATGTGAAATAAACCAGCAGAGGAAATGCACTGGCCCGGACAACGTAGAACCTTTCTTTTTCAAGATAGCTGCAGACTGCACTACTCTTTTTAACCTCTCCCTCAGCACGAACAAAATCCCCAAAATATGGAAGTCAGCGTATGTCCTGCCTCTACTAAAAGGAGGGGAGGCCACCTTATTAAACAATTATAGACCCATCTCCAAATTGTCAGTTCTGGCCAAGGTTCTTGAACGCCTAGTGAGTGAGCAGGTAAAGGAGTTTTTATGTACAAATGACATCCTGTCTAAACATCAGTCAGGCTTCAGAAAGCAACATAGCACCATCACTGCCACAATGAAAGTGGTGAATGATATTACGAGTTTTTTAGATAATAAGCAGAGCTGTGCAGCTCTATTTATTGACCTTTCCAAAGCGTTTGATACCGTCGATCATCGCATCTTAAAGCAGAGGCTACTCAGTATTGGCTTATCCAGTCATGCAGTGGGGTGGTTTGTGAACTACCTCTCTGAAAGGTCCCAATGTGTTCACTTTGATGGGCTGTCTTCTGAGTGGTTAAACATTACTAATGGTGTTCCTCAAGGTTCTGTTTTAGGTCCACTTTTATTCTCCATCTACATCAATAGTTTAGGTGAAAATGTCGAAGGAACAACCTTACATTTGTATGCGGATGATACCGTGATGTACTGTGCAGGTCCCTCCATTAAGGAGGCTGGTGTTGAATTACAGGCTGTTTTTAACATTATTCAGACTCAGCTCTCTGAACTAAAGCTTCTTTTAAATGTGGATAAAACCAAGGTAATGCTCTTTTCAAAAGCCAAAAAGACACCAGAGCCTGTTTTAGATATTGTAATTACGCAAGGAATAAAACTTGAAGTGGTTGCCTGTTACAAATACCTTGGTATCTGGCTTGATGATTGTCTCACTTTTAAATTTCATGTAAATAACCTGCTTAAAAACTGAGGTTTAGGCTAGGTTTCTTTTACAGAAATAAGTCCTGTTTCTCGCTTGAGGCCAGGAAAAGGCTCTGTGACCTTTTTACCTGTGCTGGACTATGGTGATCTGATATATATGAATGCACCTGCCCATTACCTGATCAAGTTAGATGCTGCGTATCACAGTGCACTGAGATTTGTTACTAACTGTAAAGCACTTACGCATCACTGTACACTGTATGCCAAGGCAGGTTTGCCATCACTGACTGTACGGAGGCTCAGTCACTGGTACATGTTCATATATAAAGCCATGTTGGATAAACTACCGTCTTATATCTGCTCCCTGATCTCTCAGCGAATTGAAAGTAGTTATTGCCTGAGATCGCATGCTGTGGTTTTATTAAATGTGCCAAGTGCTAGGACTGTCTTAGGGAAGAAAGCTTTTAGATGTGCAGCTCGACTAACTTGGAACAGTCTGCAAAAGGAATGGAAAATTACTAATCTGGTACCACTACATGTTTTTAAAGCTTGGTTGGATGCTACACAATCAGATGCTGTTGGTACCTGTACATGTGGATAGATATGCAAATTGTAATCCCTGTCATTTTTGCTGTATGATGTCCTTTTGTTGTTTATGTTTGTATGTCTTCATGTGGAACCTACTGCTGCAGGTCTCCCTTGAAAAAGAGATCATTGATCTCAATGGGATTTCACCTGGATAAATAAAGGTTTTGAATTTAATTGAATTGACACAAAAACAACGTGTCTAATGTAATACTGCGAAGAAAATATGTTTCACACACACACACACACACACACACACACACACACACACACACACACACACACACACACACACACACACACACACACACACTTGTCCTAAGGTGCGAGTTGCTACAGTAACAGCTTCCACCTCTCCCCTGCTGTCAGTATGATTGTGCAGAAAAACAGACACACACACACACACACACACACACACACACACACACACACACACACACACACACACACACACACACACACACACACACACACACACACACACACACACAGATGCTCGAACAGATTTTGGCCTCAGGACCCCCCCCCCCCCTCCTCATGGATGGAAGCCAGTCGGCTAAAATAATAGATTTAATCATTAAATAACAACAATACTAATTTGAATAAATATACAAAAAAATAATAGATAATATAATGATGTCGTTGCACGTTAGGATATTAGAACAATATAATACATTTAAATAGAAACTACAAATTCTCCAAAGAGTTGTGCATATGTTGTGGAGGATAAACCTGCAGAAATGAGACAAAAATAACATTTCCTTCAGCTTTTGGATCCTCTCCTTCTGCACAAATGTTTAAAAATAAACCGTGTTACCCACAATGATGCCAGGCACCTGACATCTTCCTGCTCCGTGATAGTTACACATATTTAAATGAGACAATGTGTCGACATCTGGTGCAGAATCACGCGCTTTCTGTGCAAAAACAGCCATTTCATCAAGATCAGAGCTAACACCCTCGCGCAGTCATCTGGTTGTAAGTTAAGTGCATTTAGAGGCCTGGGATATTTAATCTCAATACTTTTTTCCATACGTGCAATCAGATGTAAACCCTTATGTTTGTGTAAACTGAGAAACCTCAGAGTGACGACTAAGAAAAGCTCTGATCTGCAGCTGGTGAATGTCTTTGTGTTTCCTGCAGGTCCGTCAGCTGCTGTGAAGAAAACACACACCTGTAAGTTCAGTTTCTGTCTCAGCTGTGTGTGTGTGTTGGTGTGTGTTCAGTGTGGTTAAACTGGGAGATGTAACTGCTACGACTGTTGTTGGTGTTTTGGGAAAACTGCTCCTTTGCTGCTTTGAAATCCAACAAAACTGGACCTGTATCGGCTCATCGTACTGCTTCATTATCAGGCTTAAATATCTGGAAATATGTGAAAAATACCTGTAAAATATGTAGAATAGACTCAAAAAATAAGATTGAATAGGTCAGAGAATTATGTAAAAGAAAAGTAAAAGGTTCTTAGTCATTGCATGTGCAAGAGATAATTATATTTAAATGCAAAAACAACTCCAATGCATCCAAAGGAATGCACCAATAATATATGAATAATGTCTAATAATGTTGGAAAAAATAAGCTAAATATTTCCCCAAAAATTGAAAAAGTGTATTAAATTATTTAAAAAATGATTTCAAAAAAATGAAAATAAAGAAACCGTCAGATATGTCTGCTCTCTTCTGATTGGCAGACAGCCCTGCCAGTCATAATGTGGCGTGTCTTAGAATGAGGGGCGGGGTTTAGTGATGATGCCACAGTCACATGGATCCTCATGTGGTGCAGAGAGCAGCCGAGGATAACAGAGCACACACACACACACACCCACACACACACACACTGCTCAGTCTGGATTATAAACATGTATTTTGTGATTTCTGCCATGAAAGGTAAGAATTAAAAAATCTATTTTAATGTGTGTGCTTCAGTACACACTCATGTACTTGTGTTTATATATTTATTATTTTATTTTCTCCATTTAAGTAGTCAGATGCTCCACTCGGTGTACTTTCAGTGTGATTTTGACATGTTTTTATATGTTTACAGTGTGTGTGTGTGTGTGGTGTGTGTGTGTGTGTGTGTGTGTGTGTGTGTGTGTGTGTGTGTGTGTGTGTGTGTGTGTGTGTGTGTGTGTCTGTGTGTGTGTGTGTGTGTGTTTGGTGGTGTTTTAGTTCCTGTGTTTAATAGGCAGCCGGAACAGGACAACTTAACTGATCGTGTAAACACTATTTCAGTATCTGTCCGTCACCCTGTACCCTTAGAGGAGGAAGAGGAAGAGGAAGAGGATGATTTCAAATGTTTGATTGTGAGAGGTTGAGGAAACTGAATTTGCAGGTCAGGATCCATGTTGAGCCCTCGCTGCTGGCTGTTGTAAGAAAGAAATAGGTCAGAGAAACATGTGAACACACATTTTTTAAAAGTCAGATAACTGTCTCAAAATCTTTTCTGAAAACATGTTTTAAAAAAGTCAGAAAAACTTAAAAAACTTTTTAAAAATATGGAAGAAAATGTAAAATATAAATGTCTGGAAAAATCTGGCAGAAAAAAATATTCAAATAATGTCTGAAATATACGTAAAGTGCTTAAAAACATTCCCAAAGAGAAATGTGATTAATGTCTAAAGAAATATGTGTGAACGATGCCATGACTTTGTAAAAAGTCCAGAATAAATGTCTGATGAATGTCAGAAAAAAAAGAAATGTGTCATATTAAAATAAATAAATAATATAATACATAATATTTGAAAAATTATCAAAAACTGGGTTCCAAATACGAGAAAAATATTATAATAATATGGAGACAAAAATGGCTGAAAGATTTCCTTTCAAAAGTCCAGGATAAGAAATGAAAAGTATTTTATAAATGTCAGAGAAAATGTCCGAAATCAGTCAGAACATTTAAAGAAAAGATCCCCCGAAATGAAGGAAAATATGTGAAAAATGTCTGAGAAATATTTCTGACAAAAACAAGAAAATTATGAAAAAAATAGAAAAGAAAAATGCTTTAAAACGTTGAGTAAAAAACGGGAAAATGTGTCAGAAAAAAATATATATTTATAAAAAATGTAAGCAGAGTATTTTCTGTCCCTCAGTTTTAAATTCACTTCAGTGCCCTCTGCTGGTGAATCCGTGCCCTCTTTCTTCATACAGAGATCCTTCTCTCAGTTTCCACGTGTCAGAGATCAGAGGCTCTTCATTCATTTGAGTGTCTTTTTTTGCTATTGTTTGCTTTTAAATCATTTGTATTGATCCTGAATTGGAGCATTTTCCCACTCTTTCTGACCCCAGTTAGTGTGTGGGGGGTTTTAAATTGGTCAACACAAATCTTAATACCTTTTTGAGGGTGTGTGTGTCAGTGTGTGTGTGTGTGTGTGTGTGCGTGCGTGTGTGCGTGTGTGTGTGTGTGCGTGCGTGTGTGCGTGTGTGTGTGCGTGTCCGTGTGTGTGCATGTGTGTGTGTATAGTGGTGGTCTAATGGATAGTGAGGTGGGCTGAAGATCGGAAGGTTGTGAGTTCAAATCCCGCCTGGAACACCACCACTAGTCTGCCCTTGTAAGGCACTTAGTCCTTAGTTACTACCTAACTTAGTTAGGGAGAATGTCCCTGTAATTGGTCATTGTAAGTCGCTTTGGATAAAAGGGTCAGCTAAATGAAATGTAATGTGTGAGGATGCTTGTGAGGTGTGCATGCTGCTCATACATGTTTGCAGCTTTTGCAAATATGAGCTTGTTGACATGAATCTCTTTTCATTGGAGCTTCATTTGTTTGTTATTCTTGTTATTTGTTGGTCTGTTTTGTGCTTGGATTTTCCTCGGCTAATTGCAGCGGAGTGGGTTTACTTGTTTTGAGATCATTATGAATAAATCAGTGGACTCCTTCGGCTCCTTCATGGTTTCCCCAACATGAGAGATGTTTCTGAAATAGCTCGATTTTAAAGATTCAGTCAAATTGATTTAGTTTTTCCGCTCCTAAACCAAAACAGTCTCTGGTTTAATACGCTGTTTGACCTCCCAGCTGGCTTCATAGTTGCTGCACCACCAATATATATATATTTTTAAAGTCCTATAAAAGGTTGAAAATATGTAATATATGCCGAGAAAAATTAATAAAAAAGACTGAAAATCTAAAAAGTCTCAAAGATGAAGTTAATCATCTCTTCCCACAAACTGAATATGAATATTGCTCCCATCTTTAACACCTACCTTTAAAATGCACTTCCCTATTAAAGATCATATTCTGTATGTCGACACAGGACTCTGGAACTGGGATGGACCTTTTCTATATTTTCAGAATTATTTTTGGACATCATAAATCTACTCTAGCTGTATTTGCCAGGCTTAGCAGTGTGTGTGCTTGTGTGTGTGTGTGTGTGTGTGTGTGTGTCAGCCTGTTATGTCACAGGATTAGAGCAGCTGACAGATTATGTAACCGTCCTCTGTCCCGTCTGGAAACGGCTGAAAGCATCAGTCTGATTACTTTTACTCTCCGTCTACTCCCGTCGTCACGTTCAGATCTTTACGCTGTACGTTTTAATCCTGACAATGAAGTAAACTGAGCTGATAGACAGAGGGACGGTGATGGATGATGATGATGATGAAGGTGATGATGATGAGGGACAGGCTGGAGGACATTTTTGAAAAACTTGTCAAAGAATTTGCAGTAAAAATTAGAGAAATGTCCAGAAAAAAAAGTTGAGAAAACGTTAGAATAATATAATATGTGACAACTGGCAAAAGAAAATGTGAAAAATTCAAGAATTTTGTTTATTTTAATGTTGAGGTGATGAAAATGTTGTTGTTGTTATTGTTGGAGACATGTCGGAATTCTTTTTGAAAAAATGTAAGTCGGAATGATAGAGAAAAATACCATTTTAAAGCCCTAAAATGGAAGGAAAATATGATTAAAAATACAGATATATAACACAAGAAATAAACAAAAACTCCCCAAACTATTTGGGACAAATATGCAACAAAGTCCAGATCTATCATATTTCAGAGTCCCTCCTCCTCGCTCCCTCTTTGATCGTCTTTCTGAGAAACTTTATTATATTCTTTACGCTGTACGTTTTATTCCTGACACAAAGTAGACTGAGCTGATAGACAGAGGGAAGTGAGGATGATGATGATGATGATGATGATGATGAGGGATAGATTGGAGGTTAAACAGACTAGACAGGAGGACACCTATCAAAAGATACCCCCAGAAAATCAGAAGAATGTCTGAAAAACTTGTCAAAAATGATTTGATAAATAAGTGAGAAATGTCCCCAAAAAGGGGTTGAGAAAATGAGAGAATAAAACGTGACAACTGCCAAAAGAAAATGTGAAAAATGCAATATTTTTGTTTATTTGAATGTTGAGGTTGAGGTATTAACTGTAAATACGTTTTTTTAAAGTCAAAATAATATGTTAAAATTGTAAGAATAAAATCTGTACAAATGTTAGAAAAATACAGAAAGTCAAAACAGTGTTTTAAAAATATGCAAACATTTGTGAAAGATTTTGGAATAATACAAGACAAAACAATGTGAAAGATAAGGGAATCATTTCAAATGAAAATGTCAGAAAAATAACCTTTCAAAAAGCCCTAAAATGGAAGAAAAATATGATGCAAAATGAACAAAAAATCCCCAAACTATTTGTGACAAATATGCAAAAATGTCCAGATTTCTCTTCTGGAACATGTCCTGTTTTCTTGGCGGCTTTCCTTTCCAAACCGTGACATATTTCAGAGTCCCTCCTCCTCGCTCCCTCTTTGATCGTCTTTCTGAGAAACTTTATTTCCCTGTGAGCGCCGGTTCCCACCCGGGATCTGTTTTGCCCCTCTTTAGCTTCTCGGAGTAAACACAGAAAACCTGCGGATCATCTGGCGGCTCGTTAGCATTCATGTAGCGCTGCTAATTACACACACACACACACACACACACACACACACACACACACACACACACACACACACACACACACACACACACCACACACACACACACACACACACACACACACACACACACACACACACACACACACACACACACACACAACCGAGTGGAGGATACACAACTTTAGGAACACAACAACTGTTTTTCACGATACACACACACGGTCTGACTAAAAGCTGGTTTAGTATCAGTATTTAGAGAGATTTCTGAATAACAGA